CCCCCCCCCCTCCCGCCCCAGCCCCTGCAGCGTTCCCACCCTACCGGCCCAGTGTGCCCCGAAGCTTGAAGGAGTCGACGCTGCCCGTCCTTCCCCCGCGGTTGAGATTGAACACACCCCTTCTTGTGAAATCTTTCTGAAGTCACAACAGTAACAACGATAATGGCCACACGCTGTCCCACCGAAGCCTCACAGGGTGGTTAGGGACATCCTTCCTCAGGTGAACAGCTTGAGGCCCAGAGAGGGGACTGGACTTGCCCCAGGTCGCACAACCAAAAAAACCGGAGCCAGAGGCACGCTGTGTGGACACGATGCCCTTGGTTCCCGTGGATTCTGCGCTCCGCTGTTCGGGCCCGCTGCCCCCGTATTGATCAGGACCCAGGCGAGGGGTAGGGTGAGGCCAGGATGGGAATAATGAGGGTCGATGACTGATTTGGCACGGACAGCCGGCAGCAGCTCAAGAGGAAGGTGTCTCCGTCGCCCCCATTTTACAGATGGGTAAGCTGAGGCACCGGGAGGTCATACGGCCAGCTAAGCAGCCAGGTTGGGTATTGACCTAGGTTTCTGTTGGCTCCAGGGACTTGAGGCTTAGCCGCTGCCGCGGGGGTGAGAAAACCGGAGCGCTTGACCCCCAGAGCACTTAACCGTATGTCAACTTCCAGGCCAGGAACCAGCTGAGTCAGCCCCTGAACCCCAGCTGGGACGTGCTGGTCTATGCCTGCTATTCAGCAGAGGGACAGAGGCACAGAGAAGTGGAGGATGGGCCGCAGTGGCCGGGAAGTGACAGAGGCCGACTTTGCACAAGGCCTGTGTGGCTCCTGGGCCCCAGCGCTCCACTTGATAGCTTTGGTGGGAGAGAGGACTGCCGTTGCCATGGCCGTCGGCCCACCCCCATGGGCCAGGCAACGCAGTTAAAGAGCCCTTGAAGGGTTTCTCTGCACACGGCCTTAGCTGCCAAGAGGGGGCAGTTTTAGCGGGCCTCCCCAGGATGCCAGGTGCACTCAGGCTGGTGGGACGGGATGGGTGCCCGGGTATGAGGCAAATACCACCCCAACCCACAGATTTAAAATTCCTCCCTGGAAAATCAGATAATCAAGGAAGGTCAACTACCGTGGAATGGGTATGATCCCTGCCAGAAACCCAGAGGGAGCATCAGAACATCATCGCGTGGCAAGTACAGGCGGGTGACCCACCCCCTCGTTTTGCAGGCCGGGGAAACTGAGGCACAGAACATAGCAGGGAGAGTTGCACAGAGAGGATCCCTTCTCCTTGCCCAGCATTTATGGAGGGCCTCCTGTGTGGCGGACTCTGTCGACCCCCCCCTTCTGTGGCTACGCCCTTGAGCTCCGGGCCTGCCGAGAACGGTCCCCTGCGTGGCAGTAATCTTACCGTTGTTCGCTTCTGACCCAGGAGGGTTTCCTCGAGGAGGAGACATCTAAGCTGAGGCCTGATCTTAAGGAGGAGTCAGTGAAGCTGGTGAGAAGAACATTTCAGGCGGCGGGGAAGACATGTGCAAAGGTCCTGCGGCATGAAGGGGTTTGGCTCAGGAGAGTAAAGAAACCAGAAGCCTGTGGCAAGAGTAAGGGGGGCCGTGCATGGCGGAGAAGCCAGGAGGAGACAGAGGGGGCAGGACCCGGGTCTTGGGGGAGCCTGCCTCGGCCAAGTCAGTGCTGTGGGCTCAGCCGATGCAGGAGGCCAAGGGGAGGCCTCCCAGGGAGCGCCCAGGGCTACCCGGACTTGGTTTGGGCTTCTCAGAAGTGTGCTGTGGGCTGTTTGGACCACGGGACGCACAGCTGCTTGTGGGGGTTGGGCAAGACGTAGCCTCCTCCGTGGATGGGGAGGGGGGAGAAGGGAAAAGGAGGAAGAGGGGCAGAGAGGAGGGAGAGAGAAGGGAGGGAAGGGGAAGGCCATGCCGGGTAGCAGTCACCGCAAGGAGGCCTCTGCACCACGGGGACCCCCGCTGTCGGTTCCTTCGGTTCCTTCCCTGACGGTAACATCACCTCCGCCAGTGGGGGTGCCCCTGTGCTGGCACCAGGCCAAGGGAATCTCCTCCAGGTGGGTCTCATCTGACCCTCACAAAGGACTGGACCCCAGTCACCCTGCTTGGCCAGACCCCAAGCCTGGCCGCTTAACCTGGGGCTCTCCATCCCCACGTCTCTCCGGACTTAACCCACAGGTTTACTCAGATGTCCGGCACCGTGTGTGTGTGTGTGTGTGTGTGCACGCGCGCAGATGTCAGGTTAGGAGTGCAGACTGGGCCAGACTGGTTGGCCTTAGATCCTGGCTTAGCCACTTGCGGGCTGTGTGACCTTGGGTGAGCGACCCAGCCTCTCTGTGCCTCAGTTGTGAGGAGGTAATGAGTTAATCTGAGAAACCCCATAGCACAGCCCCTGAAACAGAGTAAGTGCTCACTTTTAGCTACTAAAAGGCTGACCAGAAGATTCATTTAGGGACGGGCTCTACACTGAAGGGAGGGGAGTGGCGCCTGGGTGGCCCAGTCCCCTGGGTAAGGGTTCGACTCTTGATTTCGGGTCAGGTCGCGATCTCAAGGTTTGTGAGATCGAGCCCTTGCGACAGCGTGGAGCCTGCTTGGGATTCTCTCTCTTCTTCTTCTCTCTCTCTCTCTCTGCTCCTTCCCCCCCAATAAATAAATAAACATTAAATAAATAAGTAAATAAACACACAAACTGAAGGGAGTGGGTCTGTGGATGGTCCTCCGAAGGTTCTAGAAGCTCCCGGAATTGACTGCAAAGCTTTGGGCGTAGGTACGTTTTTCTGAACTGAGAAAGAAGATCCTCAGCTTTCATCACAAAGTCTCACGACCCCCCAAAAGTTGAGCATCCTGGAGCCAGCGTGGACGACGTCCCCTGTGCCTGGAGGGTCCACCTTTATAGAACTTTCGAGGGGCTGAGTGTTGCCCGCTCCCAGCTGGGCCCCTGCAGGTGGGTGCTAAGCTGTCCTGTAGACCCACCACCGGCACCCACACGTGGGGGTGGGGGGGCATGTGTGCGCAGGGACAATGAGCCCCTAACTCAAAGGGAAGTATTTTTAAGGCCGAGCAACACTGCACATTGTATCCAAACCGGCTCCTTTCTCGGGGATGGGGAGGCTTAGAAACAGACTTCAAAGGCCAGCTTTGAATAAACAAAACACAATAAAAATAACTCTGGGAACCC